GGGGGAAGTATGGGCGGGAGGGGGCAGGATGTGTAGGCTGAGGGGGAGGTCGAGGCACAGGCAGCGTGCGCAGGGCTTCCACCCACGTGAGAACGCGGGGCCCCTCCGTGGGTTCAGGAGCCTGATGGCTGGGTTCCGATGCCTGCCAGTCCTGTGGCTTTGAGTAAGTTACTTAACTTCTCTGTGCCTTAGTTTTCTTATCTGTAAAATGGGGAGAATGCTACCTGTCAAATAGGGATGTGGTGAGGTCACGTGAAATATTATATATAAAGCCCAGAGTTTGACATAGAGATGCCACAGCTGCCATTGGGATTAAAGAGCACTCCCCGCTCCCCAGGCCGCGTGCCCCAGCCTCACAGGCTCCTCACTATCCCCTGGGCTTGCTCTACCCAATGCTAGGCCTGCCCTCGTGGCCTCCTTTGCTCCTTCAGTGAGGGTTAAGAGCACTAGCTCTTGAGTATGAGTTCACGTTCCCTCTCCGCCACTTACTAGCCTGGACCTTGCACAAACTGCTCACTCTCTGTGGGCCTCAGTTTCCTCACTGTAAAATGGGACTAATAATAGCACCTTCCCAGCAGACCTTCTGTGAGCCCCAAATGAGATGTAGGCAACCACCAACCACAGCACATGGTAGGTGGGAGGTTCTCTCCTGAGTGTTACCGGTTGTTTACCCATCCAACAAGGCCTAACCCAGAGACACATCCTCTGAGTTTTCACCATTTGAAATTAATCACTTCCCCCGTCTGTTCTCCCACAGTGCTTTCTCCATATGCCAACATTGCAACACTAGGCACCTTCCACTTTGTATTCTAGTTGAAGATCGGTGTGATTCTCCTATTGGACATTCTTGGGGCAAAAAAACCTGTTTGGCTCACCTTTGTGCCTGCACAGTTGCCTGGCACCGGGCTTGCAAATGTACGTTTTACTCACCTCCCTCCCTCCCTTGGCGAGGAAGGAAGGGATGCCCAACTGAGGGCTGTGTAGGAGGTTGAGCAAGACTGGTTTCCAAAGGCTCCATCCTCCACCTGGGTTTCTCCTCTCTCCTGGGGATAGTGTGATAACTTCACAGGAGATTTTGATTTGCCCTGTGAGAGCCAGGGGAGCAGAGTCCTCTTCTGCTTTGAGCCGTGGTGGGTGACTTAGGAGTGGTGAAGAGGCTGGAAGAGGGATGAAAAGAGATGCCGGCCAGATTAGTGAGAATCTGGACAGAAGCCCTGTTCACACCACGTAGTCCCTGGACAGGGGATTTGGGTTCGTAAACGTCAGCTGAATTTGTGTTTCTGCAGGGACCCTGCTAAACTGCCTGATGCTGTGTTTGAGGCTGTGAGGGATAGGAAATGGATACTTTTGCTCGGTAAGTTGATGGTTTCATTAAGAGTAGATGTTTGAAACACCTAGAAACAAGGGAAAGAATGCTCTCAAATTCCAAAATATTGAGGAGATGTCAATGACTTTAAAAGAAGTGCTGTAAAGCAGGTGGGAAGAGAAATGGGGCCTTCCTGAAAATGGTATCTTCCAGAATCTCACACAGAGTTGTGCTCAAAAATATATATATTTTTTCAATTAAATTGAGGAATTTACACATAAGGTATGTGTTTTTTTCCAAATTATAAGAGAAAGTTTATTTAGGAAGTTACAGAGGTAGTAGAAATGGGCCAGCTGGGCTGCACAAGCCCAGGAAACAAGTTACTGAAGCAAAAGAAGGGCCCCCTGGAGTTTAGGAGAAAGAGAGGCAAAGGTAACACGCCTTGGGGCAAGGGGTGGGGCATGGAAAAGGGGCTGGAACGCTCCTGAGAGGGAAAGCAGGACTTGAGATATGTTTTGAGGGATCTGAATAGACTAAGAAGGGCATTCAGACTTCCTTTCTAACATTAGTTGGGGAGGGGGCTGACCTTATAAAACGTGAATTGATAATCATAGTATCTGTTGGACTGCTCAGTTAAGTGAGGCTTAATTCTAGTTTACAGACTGGCAAAAGGAAAAGGAGGCACATAAGGGATTTTGCGGTAAAATATTAAATAGGAGACTCATAATCCCACACACCCTTGACCTTAATTGTAACAAAGGTCCCATTTGTAGGAATTCAGAGAGTGGAGTGAGAGTAGTTTGTTTGTTTTACCCTAGACTTCCTCCATCCAGGAACAGCCAAATGAATAGTGCAGATCATGTAAAAATCCTGAAAAGTCATCTGTGTTTATTAAAATCCAGCACAGATCAAAACACAGTCCAAAACCGATGCCAGTCCACAGACCATTTGTATCTGGTCCAGATGAGGTAAGTAACAGAATGGAGACTGTTTAGAAATTTATAGAGCAACTTGACATTGTTGCAACATCCAACATGTGATCAATAGTTTGTTGGCTTTTTTAAACATCTTTGTTATTTTATTTTTCTAGAAATTAATTTTTATTTATTTTACAAAAATTGTGACCTACCACAGATTGGAAATGAAAACAAACAAACAAAAGCTGGTCCTTCACCAGGATTAGCTTAGAAGCGTTGCCTTCAGTGCAGTTTCTATGAGGGAGTCAGGGTCTAAGATGACGTCCAGTGCCCCCCTTTTCTCAAGCGTGGGGTGAACCTCCTAACTCACTTCTAACAAACAGAAGGTGGGGAAAGTGATGGAATGTCATTTCCAAGATTAGGTTATGAAAAGACTCTGAGTGGTTTCTCTTTTGCTTACTGCTTTAGTCTGTTCAGGCTGCTACAACAAAAATGCCATTGAACAGGGTGGCTTATATAAATAACAGAAATGTATTGCTCACAGTTCTGGAAGCTGGAAGTCCAAGGTCAGGGTGCCAGTGTGGTTGGGTTCTAGTGAGGTCCCTCTTCTGGGTTGCAGACTGCTGGCTTCTTAGTGTGTCCTCACATGGCAGAAGGGGCAAGGGAGATTTTTCCGTGGCTTTCGTGAGGGCCCCAATCCTGTTCTTGGACTGCATCTTCATGACCTAATCACTTCCCAAAGGCCCCACATCCTAATCCCATCATCTTGGGGGTTAGGTTTCAATACATGACTTTTGGGAGGACACAAACATTCAGCCCATAGCACTTAAACATTTTCTCTCTCCATCTCTGGCTCCCTCCTTCTTGGAGAGGATGCCATGCTGTGAGCAACCCTATGTAGAAGCTCATGTGGCAAGGCGCTGGTATCTTTGGCCAATAGCCAATGAGAACCTGGGTCCTGCCAACAGCCACTTGAGGGAACTTAGAAGCAGGTCCTTCCTGGTTGAGGTTTGAAATGACTGTAACCCTAGCCAACTCCCTGATCAAGCCAAAGGATGTATCTAAGTCACACATGTATTCCTGACCCAGAAATGACTCCAAGATAATAAATGTTGTTTCAAGCCACTACATTTTGGGGTAATTTGTCATGCAGCCTGGATAACTAACACACTCTGTGTGAGAAGTGGACATCAGATGAGGAAGGACACACTAAAAATGCAACTGCAGTTATATTCATTGAATAATTTGTAATTACATAGTCCCATTACTGTAGGGCATTATGGTCCCAGATGCAATAAGCCGGCTTACCTCTTTAACTGCAAGATTGTAACTTGAAACGTAGCTCCTACTAAAACACAACTACCAGTCAGCCCGTGTGAGGTGGGCACGAGTGCTTTGTTCCGTGACAGTTTCTTACAAGTATCTCTCCACACTCAGCAAGAAAGAAAACATCTGAATCTTGGCAGGCTTTTAGAAAGTTTCTGCTAAGATTAGCCACAGGAAATTTAAATTTATGGTGGAAATTCCAAGATCAGGCAAGATAACTTATTAAAATCCAAGACGTAAATTAAGATAGAAGTCGTATTACCTAGGAGGAAGATAGTGTCAAGACAGAGTTATTCACGGCTAGTTTCCAAACAGGCACAGTCGCTAGAATTTGAATGACTGCCATTGTCGAGATGTTTTGCCAAGGGCTTCTGCGAAATAGATTTATGAGCGGCCTAATTTGCTGCCTCCTACCAGTCTGATGAATTAACTGATACTTATCAAAGAGGAAGAGTTTGTTTTTTATCTCTTGTTAGTCTGTGATCTCATGAAAGCCCGACTGTGAGCTTGTTTTGGGCAGTACAGTGACGATTTTCACCATCTATCTACTCACACGCAGCGTTTACAACAGAAGCTGGGCTCTGTGCTGGGCCCTC